CCGTTAAATGGCCAGTATCAGTCCCAGAACCTACGAGACCAGACATCCACCTGCGGGGACTGAGGAATTTCTGCTGATACTGATGCGAGGAGATAGAGCGAAGGCAGACTAACCTGTGATGCAGCCAGGAGAAAGGGGCGCCCACTGGGGAGTGGGTGGGAGCGATTTCCGCCAGAAACCCCCTCGGCTCAGAGTGGCAGGGGCCAGAGGTCCAGACGGACCGAGGGGCAGCCAGAGTGGAGCGGGATGCGCGAGGTTCGCTGCCACCGCGATTTCTGGAAAGCGGGAGCCGTCAGGCCAGCTGCAGAAGTAAGGGGCTTGGCTGCAGGCTGCCGCCGCCAACGTGAGGCGTGAAAACAGGCGCACAGACTGAACTCTGCTCCCAGCTTGTCCCGAACGTCCCTCTGTCGACCTCCGTCTCCCCTTCTACGAGGTACGAGAGCTGGACCAACTGATAGTACAGAGTGGCGCTTGGACGCGACTTGGGGATTTATGAAGTGCACTCCTGGTTCATTTACCATTATTGCATTAGTGTTGCAAGCCAGGAAATGTCCGCTGTCACGCTGTTTCTGGGGAGTGGAGTGGGGCCACCTGCTTCGCTCTGGAAGACGGCTGCCCTGTCCCCAGATCTCCGACCCTCCGTGACTGGTTCCATGGTAGCCCCAGGGTGAGGCCAGGCCACCTGCACACACAGGGCTTCCTGCTTTCCTATGAAGGTTTGCTCAGCAACCTGCTGTGACCGGCACCCTGTCTGGCTGTGCCTCTCAGCACACCTGGGATCTTACAATTCTCCTTTCAGGAAGAGTCATCAGTTGCTGACCTGGGCCACAAGTCTGAGTAACCAAAACCAGCAAGATTCAACCCAGTGACCTCAATGTTCTCCCTTGTGACTTCAGGAGAGCGTATGATGACTCAGTCCGGAGAATAAATGCAAACAGATCTTTATCATTTCTCTTGTCTCTGCTTACGCTGTGTTCTTCGCCCTCCAGAAGAACAAAGAGGGAAAAGGGAAGGGGAAGGAGGAGGAGGAGGAGGAAGAAGAAGGAACACATCTTATTTCCAATAATTTCCTGAATACAAACTTCCAGGAAATCGAACCTCAAGTCACATTTGTATTTCCGAGGTCCTGCTGGAGCATTGGATGGACTTCTCATCCTTGACTCAGGCTCTTCACACAGGCCCTGCGCCTGGCACTCACTGAAGGCTGCCCCCACATGGGCCGGGGGTGGGATGCAACCACAGAAAGCCAGGTCCACGAGGGGTGATGCTGAAGCCCAGAGATGTGACGTGAACTGTCCCAGGACACACAGCTGGTCAGAGGCAGAGCTAAACTAGGATGAAGTCTGTTGTTTTGTTTTGTTCTGGGGGTGTGATTAGGTTTATGTGTTTGTGTGTTTGTTTGCTTAACAGAGGTACTGGGGATTGAACCCAGGACCTTGCACATGCCAAGCACGTGCTCTACCCCTGAGCTATACCCTCCCCCAGGTCTGTTTACTCTTGCTGTGGTCCTTCTGTCCCCCTGTGACCCCAGCATTCTTCCCTCGCAGCAAGGGGGGAGAACGCTGTGTGCCGAAGCCACCGGGCTCCGGGCCTCCCTTGTTCCAGTTTCTCCTCCTCTAGACAAGATTGCTGGGTGAACCCAGCAGGACTGAGCTGCTGACACAGCAACCGTGGTGCATCGCCCGTGAAGCTCAGGCTGCAGGTGGAGGACAGACAGGTATCAGAGACGACAGAGAGACTCGGGCACGTCCCATCCAGCGGGACCCGGGGATGCCGTGTGCAAGGACCGCATTGCCCTTTCTTCTTGTCAACTCCAGGGGACAGACTTACACAAACATTACAGAGCTGCCTCAGGAATAATTTTCTTAGAAAATTTAGTTAGTTAGTTAGTTAGTTAGGGCTCCATCTTGGAGCAATGAACTCCGTAGGTCAGACAACACAGTGGGAGACAATATTCCTTTGGGAGCAGCCCTTTGTGGAAGTGTTCTGAGACCCAGTGGCCTTGCTTTAAGGTTCTGGTTACTTTAATCACATCTCCTTGAGTTTGGGTCCCTCCCTACAAGAACCTTCCTGTCTCTCTCCCCACCGCTCATCCATCATCTCATGTGCCCTCTCTGTGTCCTCCACAACTCCACGGTTATTGCCTTAATTTGCAGTGCTCTGCCTCCCACCCTAGCTTTTGTGCTTTGGAAATCAAGTGTCTTCCGCTTTGTTCCCAGCTCTGAGGATGCCCAATACTTTTCTGGTCGATGGAGCACAGCAGCTCATGAGTTCCACTGTCTCCTTTGTTGCATCTCATCGGTAAGAGGCTGTCATCCTGCAAATAATGTGTATTGTGTCTGCAGCGCCCCCCTTTCATAAGGGGAAAATGCATGTCTTCAACCTTTCCATGGGGGAGGCCGTCTGGCATTTTATGTTGCTTTTATAAAAAACGAAGCAAAACAAAAACTTCTTGTGGCTCATTTTTGCTGGGTTGGTATTTCCATTTTTAGAAGAACTTAGTGTCACCTGTAAACGTAAGAAGTTTACCATGAATTCTTCAAATCATTTGTAAAGCCATGAATAAAGACTAATTCATTTTCTATTTTTATAAGATTCTATTTTTTTTATAACTTTCCATACATAGGTTATGTTTATGACCTATTTCCAATCTGTAATAAAAAACGCATCCTAACTTACTTTGCATCGTAGTGTTGACTTGTCAACACTATTTTGAAAGTCTGAATAAATTATATCCACTGTTTCTCCTTAAATGTATGTTTTAAATTGCTCAAACAATAACCAGCAAGTTAAAGATGAGTTATTCCTTTAAAAAACCTTTCCTAGTTTTTTTTTTTAATGTGTGAACAGCAGTTTCTGTAACGAGCTTGTCTTTTATCGTAAATCCCCCTCCACGTGGGCGTGTGGATCCTCAGTGAGCTGTAGTCAGTGCTCGTGACCCCTGCACGTCTCACCCCACCCCACTCCCACCCTGTACAGGAGTCACAGCGCTCAGTCTAAATTTGTCGTGACAGCTGATACATTATGACAAATTGTCTCCTAATTTTTACTTTGAGCTCCTTCAGAATCTAAGACAGGGTCATCCTGAGAAATGATGACATAGTACATTGGTTTTTGCAACTCAGGTACCATCGAGTGAATGCGAACCCCTTAAAAGCATATCCATAAATCAGACGTCCGTTGTGCAAGTGATAAGAACTCACTAAGGTTCAGCTGGAACGTGCTCTGAAGATTCAGGGCTTGTTCTGGACCCACTGACCTCGTACAGAGCAGAGCAATCGTCAGAGCCAGGCATCACTCCAGAGTGAGGTCTAAACCCCCCAGTCTAACACCCAGGCACCCCACAGCCTGTGCCCATGGGTCTTCCCACCCCTACCTCTGCCTCCATCTCCACCATTACCCCCACCCAGACCATGAGCGTCCCTGCCTCTTTTTATCTGAACACAGTGACACAAACTCACAGTATCAAGCATTTTTATTCGGTGTACATCCAGTTTGCCCCAAGCTAGTCAGAAGGCTGGGTGCCTTGTCTTCCATCTCTTTGAAACTCCATCTCTTAGCAGCTATTTCAAAAAGGGAACAAAATATCAAAATACGTATAGTACATACCGTATGTGCCCACACACTCTCTTTTGCTGCAGAACAGCAACCAGCTTGCCATGTCTGAGTCAGGGAATAACTTACTCGTCAGCAACTGTGAACAACTGTCTCATTGATTTTAATCCTCAAATTAGGAAAGCCACAGCTGGAAGGGATTTCGGGGCAGTGGCTTTACGTTTCCTCCCATACAATCCTGGCGTTAATTGAGTTTTCTGTCTTCCTACATTTACTTCTAAGAATCTAGGAAATTTAAGGGAAGGTAGAAACCCGCAGGGGAAGTCATGAGAATGTCATAACGCAGGCATAAAAGAAACTGGCTCTTTCCCTTTGCACTTGGTGATAAAGAAGACAGACGCCCTCCTTTCCCTGAGGGCAGACTCACTCGAGCAGCTGCAGGTGTGGCCACAGATCAACCCAAACCACAAACACTCAGTTTGTAAAAACCAGCCCGGACAGTCCCCAAATTGGCGATTTGGTGGCAATACAATGTTGAGGACACATCCTCAACTCATCAGGGACAACTCAGGGAGGAGGACCACACCGAGGAGGAGAGAATAAAACTCCTGTGGTCTGTTGGGAAGGGGCCAAAGGAAATCAGATAACAGACGGAGCGCGGCTGGTCCGCCACCCCCCCCCCCGCCCCCGGGTCCAGGGAACACTGTGCTCACTGCCGCCTCCAGGAAGTGAGTCACCCCTCGCGGAACCCGTTCCAGCCTCAAGGAGGATGGAGGAGGCAGCCCTCCGTCCTCCCACAAAGGATCGAGGCTTAGACGGGGAGCTCCGGGCTCCACAGGTGAGAAGAGAACCGGAGAACAGCGCCCGTGGGAGCGGAGGGAAGGGACAGCCAGGGGCCAGAGCAGGGAAGCCCCCGGTCATCTGGCTCCAGAGAAAGAGGCGGTCGCTGAAGTCTGAGCCTCCTGTGACCAGTGTCTGCTGCTACTCCTCATCACTGTCCTCCCCCAGGGGGAACTCCCTCGCGGGCCTCTGGGCCGCATACGTCCGGGTCTCCATGGGGCAGTCCTGGCCCAGAATTGCCTGCAGCGAGAGGCAGGAGGAGAAATCACCACACATCTTTCCCCATTCCCTCCCGCAATCTGCTCATCCAGGTCTAGTGTTGCTCAGAGGGCCCTCTTTCTGCTTCATGTGTGGGCACAGCCCCCCTCCCAAGGCATTGAGGGGTAGCCACCCCAGATGAGACGTCATCTGAGATGCTTTCAATAGACTCTTAACAGCAGGGAGCTGAAATGGGCATCAGACCCTCCCGTCTCCTGTGGTTCCTTTAAGCAGCCTCCACCTCCCTCCACCTCCGCCCCAGCCCTCCCAGACCCTCCGGGGACTTGTGCTGTGATAAGAGGAAAGTATCTTATTAACTAAAATCATATGTTGTGCTCCCCTCCCCCCGGGGTGCTTGCACTTTAAGAAAGGACCCGGTAAGGATCATACAGATGTTACTGAATGAATGAATGTGTCCCCGGAACTCTGCCCACGGGGACCGCTGGGGACGATTTGGGAATTTACACTGTGCTGGTCACGACAGCAAGCACAGGACGCCTCTGCTGGTCCCTGATCCCAACGCTTTACAAACGTACCATTTTCCTTCTGTACTTAGGTCCCATCCTAAGTGACCATTGTAAGAGGGCAGGTGGGTGTGCAGAGAAGGGAAGATACGGAAGGGCACGAGGGATAGACAGAGATGAAAGGGGCATCAGAAAACAAAGCAGAGAGCCCATCAAAGAGGGAGGGAATCAGAGCACAGGATAAAAAGGAATGAGAGAGACATGAAGAGCAGTGGTCAGAGCCCCTTACAAGCTTCTCCTCCTTGGCTGGGGGGCTCCTCAGGTAGCAGCAGAGAGGAGCGTAGATGATGTTGGTGACCCCGATGATGACCATGAGCCAGGGGAAGCCAATGGCCCGCACAATGGCACCCCCGGTGGATGGACCTGTGAGGAACAGATCAAATCTACAAGTATTTATGGAGCCTTGATCCCAGGGAAGACCCCACGCTACGGGCAGCAGGTGACCCACAGGATGTTCCAGGGTCAAACAGCTCCAGAACTCTAGGAGGGGAAGCCTCTTGGCTCTACTTCCTGCTGGGGAACAGCACGTAAGGGAGGGTGGGAGGCCAGGTCCTGGTGCTCAGCTCCCTCCACCAACATACCTATAGCAAAGCCCATGCAAAAAGCCACGTCGGCGATGGCGTAGACGCTCCCATACACGGGGGCGTGGCGCAGGTCCACCAGGTGTCCCATGATGGGCATCATGGAGGAATCCACCATGCCTGTGATCAGGGCAAAAGGACACCGTCTGTCAGCTTTGCCCACAGCCCCCCCTCCCCGTCTGCGGCAGCCTCCCCACTCCTCCCTTTAGTCCACTGCCTCTGCCTGGTGCCCTCAGCACTGACACCCACTCCCAGCAGGAGCTGTGGTCCCATCCCTCCACATCCCTGCCAGCCGCCCTCCTCATTGCTCCTTCTGCCTCTCCATATGCCCCCTCTGACCTGACCCCACGCCAACATTCAGGGGCTTCTAGTCTCCTTGAAGGGTACTCCTTACCTATGGAAAAGCCAAGCCCTGCATTGGGGCCAATGAGACCAAAAATATTATGAGCGAGAGGAACCTGCAGCAGGGAAGGAGGAAGGGTTATCAGGGGTCCCGCTGGGTCAGGTGGAGCAGCACAAAACAAAGCATTTTTCCAATGAACTGCATTTTGAAAATTTTGTTTATCTTTCCTAATTTTTTTTGTTTGTTTTTTGTTGGGGGAAGGCAATTAGGTTTATTTATTTTACTTATTATTGTTATTTTTTATTTAACAGATGCACTGGGGATGGAACCCATGACCTCATGCATGGCAGGCACCTGCTCTACCACGGAGCTATACCCCACCCCCGGCAAAATGCACTTATTAACCACGTGCTACGTGCCACCTACTTTACCTATTTGGATTCTTGTACCTCCTGATGAAAAACAATCTTTACTTCCACTTTAAAGATATGAAAACTAGATTGGTCCCGTTTGAGTGAAAGGCTGCATTCAGAGTCACAGAGCATGAGGTCAAGTGCGAACCTCAGCTGTGACTCTATTAAACCGTAACAATGGCCCTTTTCTGTTGCACGGACTCTTCCTCCCCTTCCTCTACCCGCCTCCACCCAGACGCACACTTCTGCCCTCATCCTTCACGGGGCGGAGTTTCCTCTCTCTCCCATTAGCCACGGCACCCAGAGGTCTTCCTCAACCCCTAACTTGGGAGTCAGTGGAGCAAGACGACAGAAAGGGGACACCAACAACCAGTTTCCCACCCGCCAGGGGGGCAGGAGGCGCACTTTGCGTTGCCACATCAGCAAGCTTGTGAAACTCACCCTCTTGCCCTCTCCATCCCCCAGTGAAGCTGTCTTCTCTTCGGCTGGTTCCTTACCTCTTTCCCTGGGCATCTGCCACCCAGACCTGCTACACCAGCATACTCTCACCCTTCAGAGGTTTAACATACTATTTAGAGGTTAGTGGCTAAAAACAATGTTAGAGGTGAATCCTCCAGATATATGCCCAGGAGAAGGATTGCTGGGTCATATGGTAAGTCCATTTTTAGTTTTTTTGAGAAATCTCCATACTGCTTTCCGTAATGGCTGCACTAAACTACATTCCCACCAGCAGTGTAGGAGGGTTCCCTTTTCTCCACAACTTCTCTAGCATTTATTGTTCATGGACTTTTTAATGATGGCCATTCTGACTGGGATGAGGTGATACCTCATTGTACCAGGCACCCCAGTGTTCATAGCAGCACTATTTACAACAGCCAAGACATGGAAGCAAACTAAATGTCCATCGACAAATGACTCACTAAAGAAGCTGTGGTATATTTATATAATGGAATACTACTCAGCCATAAACAAGTAATAAAATAATGCCATTCGCAGCAACATGGATGTTCCTGGAGAATTGTCATTCTAAGTGAAGTAAGCCAGAAGGAGAAAGAAAAATACTATATGATATCACTCGTATGTGGAATCTAAAAAAAAAAAAGAAAAAGAAAAAAGAGGGCAGTAATGAACTCATGTCCAAAACAGAAACAGATTTGCAGACATAATAAACAATCTTCTGGTCACCAGGGGAAAGAAGGTGGCAAGGGATAAATTTGGGAGCTTGAGATTTGCAAATGTTAGCCACTATATATAAAAATAGATAAAACACAAAATTCTTCTGTTTAGCACAGGGAACTATATTCAGTATCTTGTAATAACCTTTAATGAAAAAGAATATGAAAACAAATATATGTATGTATATGCGTGGCTGGGACATTGTGCTGCACACCAGAAATTGACCTGTTGTAACAGACTATAATTCAATTAAAAAAAAATCCTCAAGGGGTATATATATTTTACCACTAGTGCTGGTTAACATTCACAGGGGGCTCAGTATGCGCCAGACGCTGCTGCAGTTTACGGGGGTGACCCTGGGAGGTGCTAACAGAACCCTCTCTACACTGATGGGGACGCTGAGCAAAAGGAGGGAACGTGACGGGCTCAGAGTCATATGGGCAGCAGGTGGCAAAGCTGGGAGTGAACCCAGAGCTCCAGGGCTGCATCAGGACCTCCAGCCTTTCCTGAGCAGGTGTCCAGTGCCTTACAGCCATGCTCCTCTGCCTCGAGCCTGGGAGGCAAGCGTGTGTATGATGCCCGTGCTGGAGAGGAGAAAATGAAGGCTTAGAGAGGGGCCTCCTGGAAATGGAAAGGTCCTTCTTTCTTCTTCTTCTACCAAACATTTTGGGGCGGAAGACTGAGGCACAGATGATGGCTCCCCTGCTGACTTATGGGGTCCTGGCAGGGTGGGCTGAGTAAATGAAGGCATGAAATGCACCATTTTCCTGACCCCAGAAACAGACACCAACATATATTGCTTCGTGTGCCCCCATATAAAGCCTCAGACCTCTGTCTCCAGCTGTCCCACTGCCCTCGCCCTCTCCTTTCCTACCGCCTTTCAATGGGATGGCAGGCGGCATCTCCCCTGGTGCTAAAATTCCTGCCGACACAGAGACGGAATTTCTGATGGCTCTTGCCAAGTCAATCCTCTCGTCATTTCAAAGGAAAGGGGCCTTTAAATGTCTGGGTCTCTCTCTCCATCCCCCTCTCAACTAGACCTTATTATACTTACACAAAGCAAGCTGGTACCTACTACCACCATCCCAATCAGGGCACACAGCCACCTGGAAGAAAAGAGCCGACACCATCAGCACACTGGCCAGTCCCACCACCCCGATCCCAGGAACCCCCGGGAGATGCGAAGATCAATGCATCTCTGCACGGCCAGTCTGAACCCAGGTCAGCCCTCTCCCTGCCCGCTCCCTGCCCCTCATCTCTTCCTTTTTCCCACAGTAGGAGACAGACGAGGAGCAATGGGGCAAGCCTTCCTCCCCTTAGAAGAGGAATCAGTTACCTCAGAAAATACCTGCCCCTTTGAGAAAAACCCTCAAACTTAAAATACACCAAATTCTTCCCTTCTCTGATTTCCCGTGGCAGTGGCTTTTAACCTTATTTTTAAAATCCTTATGCTGAACTCCAAAAATAAAATTAAGGCTGTTTTCCCTGTTGTGGGGGAACAGAATCCAGACACATACCTCTCAGCCCCAAACCCTTCCCACTTGGTGGCCTCTGAGGCACCACTGTAGAGCTCCCTGGGGCCCCACAGAACACGGTTTGACAACCACATACCTGTTCCCTGTGGAGTTACTTTACCTCTTCAACTGGACCACAAACACCTGGAAAGTAAAGGCTGTCCCTCGTGTATTCACTGTCTCTTCTACAGCAGCCAGCTTTGGCCCATCCTTTCTCCATACAGTCCCCGTGACCTACCCACCCCATTCCGCCAGTAGGCATTTTTTTTTTCATTTTTCAGTTTTATTAGGTAGAATTGTTACAGTTTGGCTGCACACATACAATGTATTGCATGTAAATACATATACACTGTAGACTGCACATATTTTTAAAATTTACATCTATGTACAGTTCATTGTCTCTAAGAACGTTTAGCACTTTAGCTTTTTAAACGTATATAGTTATCGAAGGAATAAAGCCAACCACAAAATAAGATTAATTCAAAAAGATACATACACCCCGCTATTGACAGCAGCATTATTTATAATTGCCAAGATACGGAAGCATCCTAAGTGCACATCAATAGATGAATGGATAAAGAAGATGCAGCGTGCATGTGTAATGGAACACAGCTCACCCTTAAGAAAGAAGGATGTTTTGCCATTTGTGGCCCTTCATTCACTTTTTTCCCCCAGTGGGCAGTTTTGATCTGTGTGTATTTGTCCTAAGTTTTCAGTCTCAGAGAAGCTATTCATCATCCCAGGTGCAGGGAAAATCTCAAGTCTCTCCCCGCTGACATTCCTATTACTCCTCCCACATCCCCAGGCTACATACCGACCCATCCTGTTGGCCAACACGCCAAAGAGGTTGGTGCCAATGAGGTAGGACACACTGGCCGGCAGGAAAGCTAAACCTGCAGAAAGACACAGGTCCTGACCTTAGCACATGCCCGGTTACTCTAAAACACCTTGTTCCTTACAAGATAGCGAGGTCCCCCTGCTACCTTCAGGGCTCCCAAACCACTTAGTGGGCTGGAGATTCTTTGTGCAAACCCGGAGCAGACGGCACAAGGCTCCACACCTCTGCTTCCCTCAGGAGCGAGGCCCTGTTCAACTTCAGCACATTTAATGTCCTTCCACCCGCCCACCTGGACTTCCCGATGAAGGGCTTTCACGGGCCATTCTCAGGTGTAAAGTCCCCTTGACTGTCAGCATGAGAACCTGAGCTTTAGAGAAAGGCCTTCATATCTCCTGGGAAGTGGAATCCCCGCTCTGCTATTTACCTGCCCTCCTATTGCCCTGACAGGGACCTTGGATGAGTCACCAAACCTCTCTGAGCTTTGGTTTCCACATCTGGGAAAAACAAAGCTGCGATTCTGTCACATCAGATTACACCAAGGAGCAAATCAGATAACGTATGCAAATGGATTTTGTAAACTGAAACCCTTGTCACGCTGGGGTTTTTGTGTGTGTGTGTGTGTGTGACAGTAAAGTGCTCTGGAACATGGGCTTCGGAGCCACACGGTGCTGGGTTCCAACTGTGGCTTGGCCACTGGTTAGCTCTGTGACCACAGGCAACTTACGCTCTCTGAGTCTCATTCATTTGTTCGTTCATTTCTTCATTCATTTAGTATTTTTAACGAGCTTTCACTATGTGCCAGGTACTCTAGGGTGAGTAAGGCAGACGAACCCTCGCTTTCAGGGGGCTTACATTCCAAGGGAGGGAGACAGACAATAAACAAGTAAACAAGGAGATGAAGAAGATAATTTTGACAAATGACACGTTCTGGGAAGAAAATTTAACAGGTCGATGTGAAAGAGTGACCAGGAATAAGGGCAAACTTCGATTTAGGGGGTCGGGAAGGGGAAGGCTCCTTTGAGGAGGTGACACTTAAGCTGAGACCTGAATAACCGAAACAGAACATCTTAAGCGAGAAAAACAAACAAAGAACACCTAATACAAATACAAAGGCCTCAAAGAAGAAACCACTTGGTCTGTTCTAGAAATAGAAAAGAGGTCTGTGTGGCTGAAGCGCAATGAACAGAGTGGAGGTGACAGAACCCCCAGGCCTGGAATTTAGAACTTACTCCAAGTGCAATGGGAAGTTTTGGAGGGCATGACGCTTCCATGTATATTTATTTCCTAAATTCCGCTGGTTGTGGTTAGAAAAATGGGTTCACAGGACAGGAGTGGAAGCCAGACGACTATGTGCAGATCCCAGGAGAAACGTGGCAGTGCCTAGTCTGGAAGTCAGGATGGAGAGGGGCGAGGGGACAGCTCAGTGGTAGAGCACCTGCTTAGCGTGCACGAGGTCCTCGGTTCAATCCCCAGCACCTCCATTAAGATAAATAAATAAATAAACCGAATTGCCTCCCCCGAAAACATTTAAAAAAAAAAAGTCAGGATGGACAGAAGTGAATAAAATAGATTTTTGGAGGTGGGGTCAGTGGACTTTTCTGCTGGATGGGGTGTGGGCATAGTGGGAGTGGGGGAAAGAGAAATCAAGGGTGACTCCTTTTTGTCTTAATTGGGTCGCTGGAGACAGAGGAAGAAACTGGGGCGGGGTGGTGACATGAAAGGTTTGAAATGCTTCTTAGATGTCCAACTGGAGATGTCTGGCAGTTGAGTGTACACGCCTAGGGTTCCGAGGAGAGATCCTCACCCCAGATATAAGGGTTCGACTAATAGGTTTACACACGGTTCTTAAAGCCACGGGAATGACTGGAATCACCCATGAAAGAACAGAGGCAGGATAAGATATCTAAGATCTGAGATGTCAGGGACTCCTCCCTTTAAAAGTTAACCAAAGAGGAGGCTGATAAGGAGCAGCCTACGAAGTAGACGAGAGGAGAGAGAATCCAGAGGGGAAAAAAAAGAAAACAGAGAAGAAGTTTGGCCTCTGACAGAGCTGGGCTGCTTCAGCCATAAAGAGAAGGCAGTGCATGTGGGCAGAGGTCCAGGGAAGGGAGTAAAGTTCGTGATGAGAACGTGCGTGTTCCCTTCTCACTGCTTCTATTTTCTCAATGGCTGTGAGTTGAGTATGATGAGCAAGGGATGAGGGTGTGTAGGAGGTCTGAGTGGAAAAGGGTAAAATAATCATTTTGGAAACTGGGAAGAACAAATCTAGGAACTTCAAGAAAGACTGTTGGACAGCGTGAAAACCCACTTTAGATTTGTGGCCATAAATATCTGGCGAGACCAACAGCCCAGCGTGTGTCTTCACCGCTCAGGTGTAGACTTACCAGAGTTAAGGCTTCCGAGGTGACGACCCCAGAGGGAGAGCGGGTGGGGCATGGGAATTCACAAGGCTTTCCAAGGAGGGACTTCAAGAATGGACTTGGATTCAGCGTGATGGAATCCAAGCTGAGTAACCCAAAGTGAGGGGCCTGAGTCGTGATGGAAATAGAGGAAGAACCGAATGGACTGGTGACCTCAGTGTGGCCAAAATGTTAATACAGGGCTCGGAGAACACCTGAGCAGGGAACGTGTCAGGTGATCGCGGGACTGCTTGGAATTGAAATTTCAGAGTTGTTACAATTAATGGTGATATCAAGGTCAGTATTATACAAAGGTTCAACTGGTCAAGGTGGAGAGGGGGAAAAGATTAAGGAACAGGGTAAGACGTTGGTAGGGTTATCCACCAGGATGCTGAAGTTACCAAAAAATGGTGACAGAAGCAAAGGTGAAAAGAATATGGGGCAGGTGTTGACGGCTTTAATGAATGGGGGGGGGGTGATGAAGGGGTGACCAGATGATTACAACGAAGAGTGCTGGGGTGGTGTAATCTAAGGACAAAGTCTTCAAGGGAATCGGGGTCTCTGAAGGAGAATGAAGAAGAAATGGTTCAGAAGCAGTGGGGCTGTGGGAAAGTGGAGTTCTCAGGAAACATCCAGGTCTTGGGGCGAGAAGATGAAAGAAGAGCTCAGAGGAGAGGCTGAGTGCGCAGGGACACGTGTCGACGACAGGGACTCCCGCGAGGCCCGGGACTTGCGAGGGGCAATGGGACACTGGGGCCGATGAAGACGTCTCTGAAACATGGGGATAATAATTATTCCAATAATTTCTTAAAGTTGGTTGTAAGGCTTAACTGAGATAATGCAGATTGGCCATTCTGCAAGGCGCGGGGCACAAAATGAGGGCCCTCTGAGCATCAGTCTTAACTATTAGCATCACAACCAGCGACAAACAGGGTTAGGACTTGAACCCAGATGTCTCCCTGCAACTGTGGGTGTTTCCACCCCCCACGCCAACAGCGAGGCAGCACAGACGGCTCTGGCTTGTGGGGCTGCGTGGAATCGGCCGTGTGAGCGTCCCTGGGTCTCACCTGCCTCTCTGCCCAGACAGGAAGCAGCGCTGTCTCATAGAAACTGTCGTGACAAATATGATTAAACCCAGAGTCAACAACTCCGCAGTTACTGGCTTGATGTTTTGTTTGCTTTTAATATCCTCTGCCACGGGCCGGCGGTGAAGCGCACCTGGGTGTATCTGCCTAGGCTACCTGGACAGGCGGCGACCTGTTTCAAACGGCAAACGTTTGTTTGTGTTTCATGGCTTTACAAATTTAATAGTATAGCTGCTCAGTTGTTTACCTGGTATCTGGAAACGGGCACCATCAGGAAGCCCACAGCCTGCTGGATGACTCATCTCCTTGATTTTGTTCTAAGTGACGTGGGACTTCCTGAACGAGAGGTGCCTCAATCAACGTGGCTTGTTCTTTAGGATCTGAATATAGCTTGCATTTCCGTAGCGTTTTGTGCAAAGCAGGTGTTCCAGACTACATGTCTGCCTACACTTTTTTTTTCCAATTGAATTATGGCTGATTTACAACGTTGTGTTAATTTCTGGCACACAGCATAGTGATTCATTTAAGCACATATATATATTCTTTTTCATTCTCTTTTTCACTATAGGCCATTACAAAGTATGGAATGTAGCTCCCTGCGCTAGGCAGTAGGACCTTGCTGTTTACCTATTTCATATGCAGTAGTTCCTATCCGCAAACCCCGAGCATACACTTTTCACAGCACACCTTCAAGGGATGGGGGACCACTCATAGCGGTGACTGTCAAAGTGATTTCAACAAAAACAGTGATGACAATGGCGTTAATTTTTACTCCCTGAGCATATCCTGTATTCCATGCACCGTGCTATTCCAAATCCCTCTAGAACACACAGATCTACTGAATCCTGAAAACAACCCGAAAAGGCATCTGCATTTTCACAAGTGAAAAAAGCAGAGTTCAAAGGGGTTAAATAACGTATCCAAGGACACAACCAGTCAGTGGTCGAGTCAGGATTTCTACCCCTGAGCTCCTTCCTCCACTGGGTGAGAGCAGCGGGTCCACAACGGGGCACTGAAGTTCAGTCCCAGACCACAGACTGCTCCTCCCGACAGCCTGGAGAGGCGCTGTGCCCCGAGAGCCGTGTTTCTCAGCGCGGCCACTGACGCACACTGGCATTACTGGGAATGCAAACTTGTTTCTACTGATTTGCTGAACGGGGCCCAGCAGTCCGAATTTTGTTGTTCATAATGTGCTGTGTGTTTTGTTTTGCGGTTTTTTGGGGGGGGGGCTTTTTTTTTTGGCGGGATGGGTAATTAGATTTCTTTATTTCTTTATTGGAGGCACTGGGGATTGAACCCAAGACCTCGTGCGTGCTAAGGATGCACTCTGCCACTGAGCTATACCCTGCCCCCCAGCTGTCTGAATCTTACCCCGCTCTCCAGCTGAGAACCTTTGATGTTAGACTTAACAGAGGCAGAGAGCACTGAGCCAAGTCGTCAGGGATGGTGGAGGACGCAAGCCTTCTCGGCTCCCCTACTGACTCTCCCGAGGGCTTTTCGCAGCCGCCTCACCTGCACGGGGCACTGTGAGTCTGATCTTGGGTCTCACCAGCCTCTCTCTGTTTCTCTGCACCCCAAGAGGAACCAGTGCTGCCTAGCAGGCACCGTCACGATGATTACAATTAAACGTAAAGTCAACAATTCACCAGTTACCGGCTGATGGCTGGTTTGCTTTTCATTCTCCCTCCCGTGGAGGCACGAAGGGCAGGGGAGGGGCCATTCTGAGCCTGGCTGGTTCCCCACCTGCCCCAAGAGCCTGGGCGGCTGGAGCCCTGGGGCCGGGGCTGTTTATTGGCACCAAGCACAACTAACTTAATTAACCATCATGGTCAGAGGCAGCTGCAGCCCAGAAAAATTCAATTTGGGGCCAGGAGTGCAGCCGAGATCCTTGCTTAGAACTGTCCCCTGAAAAATTAGATCTAGTGCTTTCCGTTGCATATTAAGCTCCATCAGGTCCTTATCAGTTTCCCCCCTGGCCGCATACACCTCTCCTCCCTGCAGTGACTGAGCGATTTGCACGTAACCTTCCCTGTGCCCTTTGCTCCGGCTTCCTGGAAGGGTCCACTGCCTCCTCTCTAGGCTCAGATGAGTCATGACGACGTCTCTCCAGGGGGCAGAGAAGGCTGGAGGCCTCCCTCTCAGAACAGTGTACCCCAGAAGCACTTTTTTAGGGTAAGAAGATAGCAAAAGGGTAACCTGTGGAAAGGGGAGTGGACAAGAGGAAAGTATCGATGGTGATGGTGGTGCCTGTTTACATCCTACAGGTGCCAAGCATTTCCACGGATGAAGCCATTCATTCCTCAGATTTACCTGCTGAATGAGATAGGATTCTGACGTCTGTTTCAGAGATGAGAAAAGTGATGCTCTGAAAGCTGAGTGCTTTGCACCAGTTTGCGCAAAGCACATCGATGGAGTAGAAATGGAAACCTGAGGTCTTTTGACTAGAAGTCATTAATCATTCTACCACACAGCTGCCACTCCATCCCTTCTCGGCCTGCTTCTTCCCCACCTTCTCTGCCGGAGGGTGCACCGTTCCCGGAAGTATTGCAACACCGGGTTGATGCGTGGAGTGGGCGGAGCAAGCGCCTATTCCAACTTCCTGCTCCAAAAATCCATTTAATGTACTGTCCTCAGCTAGAGGACGTATCAGATAGTAAACTGAAAAGAACAGGGACTACACTTGATCTTAACCAAAAGGCCGAGAAGCGACCAGCCTGCGTCTTGGAAGGACTGCCCACCCAACCAGGCTTGATTCACAGGTGTGGACAAGGAAGGTAATTCTCGCAAGAAAGCGCATTGTCTCTCTGTGATCCGGAAGACCTGGTCCTGAGGATGCCTCCTGATGTCCTGAGAAAGGGCCCATGGTACACACCTCTCTGCCCAAGCCCCAGTTGGGGACCAAGGTCACTCACCGAGCTGCCACTCTGGTGCACACATGGTCTGCAACATCCAGATGGGCAGTGTGGGCTCCAGCATGGCCACTCCCATGTTGGCGAAGCAGAGGGAGCCTGGGGAGATGGTTCAGTGAGCCCCCGTGGTTGCCCAGAAGCTCAGGCTCTCCCCGCCGGAAAGGGAGGCAAGGTCAGCTTACCTGCAGCCACCAGGATGTAAGGGTCTCTGAGAAGTGTGAGGAGAGGAGTCCCCGTGACGCTCTGAGAACATGGACAACAAAAACCTTCCATTTGTACAGCATATACACCTCTCCTGTCTTCACAGCACCTTCTACATTAGCTCCCTTACCGTGGAGACCAGACACCCAAGTCACAGAAGAGGAACGGACTTGCCCAGTGTCGCAGAGTGAGCTGGGACTGCATATACCGGGTGCAGGGCAGGCACAGAGGGGGGGCAGTACTCCAGACACGATTCCTGCCTACCAATGGCCATCAACCAGGTCACAGCGGACTGTCAGCAAGGCCGACACTGGACAGCAGGTGTCTGGGATCCTGGCCTTGGGCCTCTCCACAGGATCCGGCTGGCACTAACATTCGTCCAAGGAGAACCCCAGGCAGGGCGCTGAATCCCAAAGGTAAGCCCAGAGGTCACAACTCAGAAGGCAGCTCAAGGTGACTGAAGTCCTGCTCTGACCACGTGGAGCCACACTGGCTGGTGCAGCCGACAACCTGAGCAACTAGATTGGAACGCCAGCCCAAATGTCCAACTCTGACACCACCCACTGCTCAAAACATCTTCCTTCCACTAAACTCAGTCATCCACCTTCCTCCCCTGCACACCAGCAGGCCCTCAGGTGTCACGGGTACCTTCTCTTAAATGCCCTTCCTTCTCCGTTCCAAAAGTCCAGACCTCACCTACCCTGCAAAGTCAAGCTTAAACAGCTCCTTCTTATCCAGAGGTTTCCCTGACTCAGTAGCTGGAACTTCTCTCTCTTTCAAACTTCCTGAGTACCGTGCCCTAATCTCTGGTGTTTATCCTATTTCTATGTTGTAATAAATTTAATAGTTTTAATCTGATAACCCTCGCTGCACACACAGGGGTGGATTAAAATATTCAGAGATACTCTAAAAAGATCCTGCTCTCCCATATGTAATTCTCAGTAAAGAGAGAGCTAGATCATAAAATATACACGAAAGAAGTCCAGTAAACCCTTTGATCCAGCAACTCCACTTTCAGAAATTTATCCTAAAGATGCTCTCCAACTTTATAAAAATGCACATACACAAGGTTACTCATTGCAGCACTATTTGTAACTGCAAAATACTGGGAACTACCTAAATGCCCGAGCATAGAGGATTGAATAAAATCTGGTACGCATACACTGGTACACCATGTGGCCAGAAAAACAACATTTTTTTGAATATGTAGAACATTACCACCCAAAAATCAAAATCACGTATAAAAAAAATCGAAGGAAAATCATTTCTCTACTCAGAACACTTCTGATGCCAAATGTGTCGCTTCTCACGCCACGCAATTCCCCAGTTCTCTGTGGGCACCAACTGGGGGTCCCTGCAAATTGAATTCAATTCTGACACTAACTATGTGGAGCCGGCACAGACCCCACAGGCTGCCCCTCACTTCAGACGCCAGTCAAAGCAGAGCGCTCCCAGGATGCCTGCACAACTGTCAGACGTGGCTACAAAATCAAGGTCTTCAGATCAAGTTTCCTGTATTTTCTATGCTTTCTTAATTTTCTTTCTTCGTGGTTTGATACGGTTTTCCCAGAGCCATCTCTGTCTTAGAGTCAGACAAATGCCGACAGTGACATTTAACCGCTATAGAATGACAGTTTGTAAGGATGCTTTTGGGGGAGAGACCGTTTGCCTGGTTTCCGAGGTCTTCAGCTCTGAGATGTTATAATTGTGATTCTCAGGCCCCAGTGTCACTGTCTCCCGGTTCTGAGTCATTATATATATAATCTCAGTAAGGTTCCTTTGATTCTTTATAAGGCTCTTCCTCCATCCCTGCCCAACCTCCAGCCAGACTCCCTCCCCATCTCCCACACCATCCTAAATGTGGCCCTGTTGGGAATCCAGCACAGTTCTTGCTTTCTCCAACCCCATCCCCCTTTCTTCTTACACTTTGACGGGATGATCTAGGCACGCCTGGGTCACTGCACTCAGCCATTCTATCTATCTCTTGGCAATGGAGCTTGGAATCCACTTACCTCAGGAGAAATCTTGGAAGGGTGCAGGATGCACAGCTGGAGTGCTAAGAAAGGCAGAGGGAGAGAGAAAGAGTTCAGTTTGCCCACGTATGAGTTGGGGGATCCGGTAACAGCCACATTGTTAGCATCCTATCATGTACAGACCGAATTCCCTGAGCTTCTTCCTTCTTTCTTCCGATGGGGTGGTCCTTAATCCACAGGGACATGTCAAGACTGACACCACAGCACAATGCATTCCCAACCTGGCCCGGGCTGCCGCCTGCCTGGTGGCCTCTTACGGTCACTTACCTCCATCCAGGAGCGCCAGGAAGGCCAAGATGAGGAAGGGTACGAACTTCCCAAAAAACACATACATCACACTTCCGAAGGGGGCACCCACTGGAAAAGCAAAACAGGCATGGATTCCAGACGTGAGGGCCACTTCCCAGCCAGCGCAACTTGTCCACATGCACCCAGGGAGCATTCCCTGGGGGCCTTCCGGGGGCTGAGCTCCGCATGAGCGCATGAGGTGTCGAGGATTCAGAGATGACAAAGACCTGCTTCCAGGGGCTCACTCTCTAGTGGAGGAAATGTGTGTGTGTGGCGGGGGTCGGACCCAAATCATTAGAACATGATGAAAAGTAAATGTCAGCGGTAAATGTCCCATCTATGAAGTGCTATGTATGCACAGCAGAGTGAGTTTGGGTGGCCACGGGGGCTTTGTCCAGTGGGCAATACTCGTGGGGAAGAAGCATGTGTAGGGGGGAGGGGATAGCTCAGTGCTAGGGCGCATGCTTAGCATGCACAAAGGTTCTGGGGTCAGTCCCCAGTCTCTCCATTATAAATAATGAAACTAAAACCTAATCACCCCCCCAAACTTTTTAAAAACCCTAATAAAAACAAAAGCGTATGTAAAGAGCCCAGAGGTGTTATAACGGAGCGTGTGGGGGGGGGAGAATTAGGAGAAAGCCCCCGGCACCAGGACAGGAGTATCGGGAGAAGCCGGAGGTGCGGAAGGCTGAGGCCAAACAGCCAAGGACTTCACGGATCCAGACAGGGCAGCTCCCTGGCCTCGCGGGCTCGGGAGAAGCATCGGTGGAGGGGAGGAACACCACCGGCCCTGCGTGTAGGCGGTTTCTTCCGGGGGCCCCGTGGGGAGGGAGGGGTGGGCGAGAGATGAGGCAGGAGGCTGGTGCCCTGCTCCAGCTGGG